CGATCCACATAAATTAGTTGAGGGTGCCCCCAAAACCCCAAAACCCCGAAGAGCATAATTAATTTTACAAAAGTTAAATAGATAAAGTTTATATTAGGGAATGAAATAAGTTTTGTTAATTAAAAAACAACGATAAAGGTAAGTTTCTTGGAGATCAGACTTCATATAGAGAGATCAGAATATAATGAGGCTAATAGTAACTAGCAAGAAAATTTTTATATGAATTATATATTAAAGTCAATGTTAGATATTATCTATAGATATTATGATGGATCAAGTTAAAGGTATTTAACTCGTTGAAATCTACTGCTGTTTTTCATAGATATTTTTAGCTTGGCATTTCAACACCATCTTTTTTTCTTTGGTCCCAGTGCCATTTATATACTTGGCACTCCCTTAGTCCTAGTCTAGCTGAGATCTTTTTTATGTAATCTCTTGTCCAGTTTTGAGTCTTTTTATATTCATTCTCTAGTAGTTTTATCTAATCTTTATTCTTTCTTTATCTTCTCTTTATATCTCTTCCTGATCCATTCTCATCCTTGGACTTTTTCAGCAATGCTGCTACACATTCATTTAGATCTTCGAAGTCTAATAACAATGTTTTAGAATCGATGTTAGTCTCTTTGAGTAACTTTTTATAAGTACTGTTGAAATGTTCTTTGTCTCTGATACTGTTATTTTATACTAGCTCTTTATCTGATAATAATGGACTTGCAGTAGAAGATGCATTTGTACTTGGATATGCGTGAGACTAAAGTGTAAAGTCGTTGATGTCCTCATCTTCACTTAATCCACTTTCAAGCATGGATGACATACTGTTTGATGACTCTTTCCTGACAGTCTTGAGTTGAAGGAGTGGAATATTCTGTAGTATCTGGTTAGAGTTGCTTAAGAGAAGTTAATCTTCTTCTCTTTCTTAGATTTATTTTGTGCTTGGCATTCTGTCAAAAGCAGGAAGATCAAGCTTAGAAAAGAAGAGCTGTGCCTGGGGGAGGTTTAATTGTATAGTGTGGTTGGGTATCTTGGCGTAGGGTATGAATGCTGAGAGCTATGATCGTTTAAACATTTCTTCTTCTGTTAATTATTCTAGAGTTGGAAATATATCGTAATTATTAATGAATTGATCGAATGATTCAAAATCCAATTAAGTATTATTAAAGTCTTGGTAATAGGTTTGCATTGTAAATTTTTAAAAATTAATTATAATATTCCATTTAAGTATACTGCAGCTTGCAATAAAAAACTAAAATTTAATCGAGTTTAAAGCCTAGTTATTTTAATAAGGTTTTAGCTGTGAAGCCTTTACTTAATTAATTTTATTGCATTCTCGCTAATTATTATAAAACATCATAATATGGCTTCTCATAGCATTAGATATTTTAATTGAAATTTTAATATTTCTTTCATTAACCTAACTTAAACTTATATATACTTAACATATGCTTATATCTATTAATTAAGGTCAAGATAACACAATCTAATCATTAGTATGATGCCTGTCTTCAAGGTTTTGGTAAATATCGTCTGATTGTGTCTGAGAAAGGCTCCATTTACTGCTTGTATCAACTTCTTTAATCTTTAAATACTCATATGTGCTCTCCTTGTGAATGAAATCTCTGATCAAAACATTAGAACCGAATTCGTGGAATATTCTAGTATCAAGTATCCTGACTAAGACGTGATCTACTCTGGTATATGACCTTAATAATAGGAAAAAGCAATCTTTCATGACCCTGTATCTAACGAAACATTTAGAATAACCCTTGTCCCCGAGCTCATCCTCAAATAAAACTACCTCCCCATAATGCAAAATAGGGTTGTCTTTGCCAAGCAAGAGTAGCGGTATACTAGTCTTACTCGTATAATCTAGCTTGCCTTTGAAATCTGGCAATTAGCTCAACTCAGTCGGCCCAACAACTTATTCAATTAATTCATTAAAACTCTCAATTTGCTGATTAAAGGTACTATTTTCTTTTAAACTCTCACTCAATGAGGATATTGTGCCCTTGAATGGAGTACTGAAAGACCAATCAAAAGTCTTCTCAATTGTCTTTAGGTCTTCAATCTTAGAAACATCCTTTTCTTTCCACAATTTGCTTTCCTTTACCTCAATGTCCTTTGGCCTCATATCAATGCTATTCAGGAGTTTGTCTTATTAATCTCCATCAAACGCAGGAGGAGCAGTTTCCTATTACTCAGCTATGAGATTTGACAATAAATATTGTTTCTGAGTTTCATATTTACAGAAGTTAAGGGCATCAAACGGATTTAGGCTATAAGTAAAGTTGTGCTTGGGACTAATAATAAGCAATCTACTGAAACCAAATATCATGTCTGGAGATGATTGAAAATTAAAATAGTGTTGAATATCATAGGCTTAAGTACTTTTAAGGATGGTTCCAGTAGATTATTCTAAAAAATGCCAATCACATTAGCTATAAATGCCAAATTGATCCTTTTATATTTTGGGCAGTGGGAAAGGTTTATTGATTACTTGTGATTAATTATCCACGTGCTTTTGCTCCTCTTATTCCATTCAAATTTAAAATAATTAAATTTCATCAACAACTATCTTAATTATCTATGTCTTTTGGGGTTTTGGGGTTTTGGGGTTTTGGGG